CGGGTCTGTAGCTCGTTTGGTGTTGCCATACGACGAAATTCAAAAACGTACCAATAGATGGCCCACCCTTTATATTACAAAAATATTGAAAGGCTCGCATGACTTTATGACTGCAATAAGGATTTAACTTTTGGCAGAAATATTTTTAAATTTATTCTGTCTTATATTGATTTTTATATAACTGTTTTTGCTCTTTGCTTTATTATACTTTTTACAAGACTTTCTTGCGAATTTTTATTACCGTAAGTATAAGTACTTCAGTACAACTGTACTAATTTGTGCTCTCATATGTAGACTTATTCGTACAAATCTATTTATATTTCTACTGTGATGGTTCAGTCTTTTACTGCGACCGAAATGACCTTTTGACAAATTCGTAGATTATAATTAATTCAAGCGCGAGATCCCTGCGAGAGGCCACGATTTTTTTTTTTACTTTAAACATAAATCTCAAAAAACTAGCATAATCAGTCATGAATCGCTTTTTTTTTAAGCACAGGGAGCTATAAGCTTTAAGAGTGTAGTTTGTAGGGGAAATAATATGGTTAATAATATGAGACTTAAGACGTCAAAACGAATGACGCTTCATTGTAGTCATGGTGGAATCAGATTTCATCATGGTCGTAGTTACGTTCTAGTTCCATGCGAACGTAGGTTTTGTTAAGTCAATATCGATATAAATATATATATGTATATATAAAAATATATATGTATATATTAACGCTGTATTTATATAAATAAACTATTGTTATCGATGCAGACTCCATATCAATGCTGTTTTCATGTTATACTTGTCATTGCTTTACAATACATCATGGATTAATGTAAGAATAGTAATATTTCATAGATGTAAATGTGACATAACAATCTCATTAATTAGGTTTGCTTACGTATGCGATTTACTTACCTATTACTTGAGAGTCAATGTCCTATCCCACGTTTCACTTTACAGGGAGCGCAACACAAACACGAGATACTGAGTGACGAAATTGCAATTTATCCCTCGTTGTAGATCGCACAGATTGTGTATCCTCCGTAAAGTGCTAATAATTGCTTTGCTTAATCACGCATATTCCTAGAACAGGCGCACCTTTGACATAAGTTTACGTAACTCTATATTGTGAAATTTCTGTTGTTTTTAGATTTTCACCCTGTCCGTATTACATACTTGGCATCGTTTAATCGTGCGTTACGTGTTTGCAAATCGCGATAAAGATATATTCCCTTGTGTGCATAAGCTTCGGTCAGACATTTGACAGTTTACTGAGAGTCGGACGTGACTGTTTTACGATCCCTGCAATGAGATTTGCCGGATGTACACACGTAACAGGTCATCCATATATTTCATAATTCTACAAGGATGTATCGCAAGAATTTATAAAGTAACATTAGAATAAATTTTGAATCTTGTAAGTGATAAAAAAGTAAAGTATATTAACTTTATGAGCACTCATTGTATATAACCTTATGTCATAATTACTTTACAATTATGACATTTGAAACCATGATTGTATGTATATCTATATACACTAAATACATCTGTAATATGATAACTATAACCAATATTACGATTCATATATTAACAATTCAATGTTATAAATTAAATACGTGATAATTTTTATTACTTTTTATATTTTTACTTGCACATTGAAGTACTTATTTATTAAAATTTTATTTCCATAGCTGTAATATTTAATATTATTAACATTACCCGAAGAAAAATCATATAATATATCAATTTTATTTTTTTTTCTCAAAATCTTTTGAAAGATACAATTTCTTTCTCTATAAGTTTTTTATTAAAAAAAATAAAATCAAATAATATCTTCGTATTTTTTAAATTTAAGTAGTTTACCTTAAATAATTGGATTTAATCTTAATATTCGAATAAGTTTTGTGACAAAAATTAATTTTTTTTGTTTATAGATAGTTTAAAACATTTTTAAATACATTATGACTTCGAAATTTATATAAACAGAAA